AGGAGGAGAAGGAGGAAGAGAAGGAGGAGAAGGAGGAGGAGGAGGAGGAGCAGGAGGAGGAGGAGGGAGGGCGAGGGAGGAGGAGGAAGAGGAGGAGGAGGAGAGACAGAGACTTGGACGAGGAATAGGCGAAATGCGTAAGCTCAGGTGAAATGACAGGGGCAGATGGAGAGACAGGGAGGACGGCGGAGGAGGAGCCTCGGAGGACAAGGAGAAATTAGGGACAGGAGGAGGAGGAGGAGGAGGAGGAGGAGGAGGGGGAGGAGGAGGAAGAGGAGGAGGAGGAGGAGGAGGAGCAGGAGGGGGTGGGGGAGGAGGAAGAGAAGGACGAGGACAAGGAGGACGACGACCACCACCACCACCGCCACCGGCACCACGACCACGTCGACGACCACAACGACGGCCACCACCACCACCAGCAGCAGCAGCAGCGGGCGGAGTGGGCGGGCGCCGCGCTCGGGCCGCGAGAGGCCCCCGGAGCCCGCGCGGCTGCGGCTGTCGCGGCCGCCGCAATCGCCGCGAGCGGCCGCGGCCTCGGCTCCGCAGCGGCCGCGGCGGCGGGTCGCGGCCCCTCGGCGTGTCGAGGCGGCGGCTCCTGGTGCGACGGCCCCCAGGGCGTCGCACAGCGCCCAGATGGGGGGGGGCGCGCGCACGCCTCCGAGGCTCTGAGGGGGGGAGAGGGGGGGGGGGGCGCGCCCAAGAGGTGAGGCGGCAGGCGGGGCGGGCCGCGCCGCTGGCAGGCCGCGCACGGCGATGCGAAGCAGCACGGCGGCCGTCGGCTTCGAGAACCTGCTCGCGCCTTCAGCGAGGTTTCGAGTAGGGGAACAAAATCTCATCATGCACATCCACTGCCCGAGGCCTGGCCCATGCTGGGCGCAGGAGCGGTGTACATGCATCCCTGGCCAAGCCAGGACGTCGCATACATCGCTCCTCGGCCCAGGATGGGCCAAGCCTGCGCAGTGGATATGTATAGATCCCGTCGCCCTGCCGAGAGGCGAAAGCGGGCAACCCGGGGGACTCCATGGAAGATCTCGGCGGCGAGCCCGGGGGGGAAGCGAGAAGGAGAAGGCCTTCTCAGAAGGCTCGGAAGTCCCCTGGCCTTCTGTGAGGTTTTCTCTGCCTTCCCCGAAGACATGGAAACTTCTCAGAAGGCGCGAAGGCTTCTGAGAGGCCCCTCCGCCTTCTGAGAAGGCCTTCTCCTCCTCACTGTCCCCCCCGCGCTCGTCGCCGAAGATCTGGCCGAGACCAGCACGGTCCCCCCCCCCAGGAGACCCCAGAATCGAATCGATTGGTCGGATCGGCAATCGGCATGAATCGGATCGGCAGAAATCGGCAGCCGAGTCGGGAAAAGCCGAGTGGGCGGAAATCGACTGGCAAGCAGGCCTCC